AAAGGAAAAGTAATAATGAGAGATGTAATTTAGTTAAAAGTAATAAGATGGTAGCTAGTGTACCTATTTCCAAGGAGAGCATGGAGCTTAATAATAAGGTCTTCTTCATCTTCAGTAAAGTTGCCTCTTTTAATGTCTGGTCTTAGATAATTTATCCATCTCAATCTACAGCTTTTACCACAGCGAAGCAGGCCTGAATATATCCATCAAAAACTTTTATCTTCTCTCTCTCTCTCTCTCTCTATATATATATATATATATGTATATATTATTTTATGTTTTTCCTATAACCTCGAACTATATTTTCCTTTAATGCAGATAGGGTAATAAAGCAATTTCAAATTCAAGTCTGTGTTGGTCTGATCTACATCAAACGCAAGTCTATGTATTAGTATTGGCATTAATATTAACACGTACCGGCAGCCTGAGGAAGAGTTCGCCAGCAACCTTCACCGTGTTTCTGTATGTAATCAACGAGCTTCTGGTCTTCTTGTCTTGACCAAGCTCCTTTATTATTTTCTTGCTTATCACAACAGGGCTTCCTCATTTTTTTCTCTTCCCAATTTTATTCGCTACAAACCCTAAAATGATTCAGTTTTTTTTTTTTTTGGAAAAGAGAGAACTCACGGCGGAGCAAAGATGGGGGTTGTTAAGGATTATTATAAGAGAGAAGAGGGTGGTGGAAGAGGGAAGAGACGGTTGACTTTGACCGGTGGTTTGCTGCATGCCTGACTGCATGATATGGGTACGTGACACCGTGTCAGCGTATAGAGAGAGAGAGAGAAGGTGGCGGGGATTGCAAGGTGTTTATTATATAAGGTTTTGGAGTTGGGAGTTGGTTGCCGTTAAGTACGAGTCTTTATCTTCTACTGTTTACCTCCCATCCCGTGCGTTTTAATTTGCCATTTTATCTCTTTTGAATATAATTAATTAAATTTGTTTTCTTTGAGATAGAATTGAATTTCAATTCAATTTAACTCAAATTATAATTATTATTTATGTAAAACACATTCTTACTTATTATTTATGCTATAATATATTTCTTTTTGACCATCTAGATGAGTATTTTTTTTTTTTTTTTTTAAAAAGAATTGACCGACAGTTCCTGAATATCATAATTCATAAAAGAGGCTTATAACTAACAGTAATTCGTGTTGTTGGAAAAAACTGCGCGCTTGCTAAATCTTTCTTGTTGCTGCCTCGTCTATAGTCCACCAATGAGATCGAGAGGTAAACCCACGTAGACATATATATATATATATATATATATATATCGAGTATTTCAGAAATGATCACAACTTAATAAATAAATTAACGTAGAATACGAATGGTCGTACATTATCCTAATTTTGTCGTGGTCGAATAAACAGTGTGAATAACTGAAGTCTTAGAAACGACAGGTACTTAGTATACTTGTTAGTGGAAAAGTTAAATTATCAAATCGTCAGAAATATCATCAAAGAAGCGAAGGGCTATGCTTTTACAGCAATAATTGAAGTAGACGATGATTGTTCTTTATAATATATATATATACACATATTAAAATTAAAGTAAAGATGCGAAATAATACACTTTAAACTTGCATCTGGTAAAGAGAGTGGGTCGGAAATAAAAAAGTGAAGGCAACGATACCTATTGAAATTAATTAAATTCAAAATTGAAATTGGGAGGAAGGGGTACAAGAAACAAAAGGAAGGAATTGCTGTTAGGGAACGGAAGATGAGTTTGGTGGGTCAGCAGCAAACAGTGTACGCACCCAAATCTAGCGGATAGAATTAATTTAAGTAGAAAATTGTATCCGTTATGTTCTGAGTTTGAAGCAGTTCATTTCCATTTGAAATCAATTATTACACCGATATAAAAAAGAGTCGGATTATGGTGCATAAGTGGTGACCCCCCGGCATCCGCCCGCCAATATGCTTGTACTCCGTCATGGGAATTACACCGCACAAGCGTGATGGCATTTCAGTTTCCTTGGTTCTTTTATTCCATGAGTAATAAAGACGTTATGGGATGGGAACGGGCATACGATACGACGTGTTGTTGCGACAAACAACAACAAAGTTTGATTGGTAGTTTGAGAAATTCAAAGACTAAATGGCCTTTACCAACAATCTTTAAGAAAGATGTAACGAAAACGCAACCCACACCGTGGTAACGGATCATCACATGGCCTTGTGCTCTTGCCCCTCAACTAATCACCCTAAATGTGCATCACACATTTCGTTGTTTCCTTGTAAAAACTACATTACTACAAATACGTTTCCCTCTTCATTTGGTTTTGACTACATTGGCTTTCATCTTCAACCTACCAATAGATTGACTCAATACGGGCTTTACCTCCCACCTAAAAGCCCTAAAACACTGCCTAATGGAGTCAGGCCAATCTTGGCGAATAAACTCAAGCTTGTCAAAACTTTTACAGATTTCATTTTGAAATTTTCATTCAAACCGGATGAAATTAGAACAATGCACTCCAAATTTAACTAAAACTTGTGAAATTTGGAAAGCATTGTTTTAATTCCTCTTAAAATTTTATCTAAAGTTACAATTTTTTTTCATCATCCTAATATAAATATCTCTTGGTTGAACCGTGCATGGGTTTACAACTAAATTCTACCTTATTTCGTAAACTGTTCCAATCAATGTCCAAATTTCTGATATCTGATTGATTCACTTCAGAATTTTAGTTGAAGTTATAAAATAAAAATTTAAAATATACAAATTACATTTATAATAAAGTCTTTTCAGTTTATTTATACTCGGTGCAATAATTAATTTGAAAATAGACAAAAGGCAGCTTTTCTAGTATCATCATTCAACTGCTGTTATTATTGAATATCATGGTGTAAAATGGATAAAACGGAGCACCCAAGACAGAAATATAAACAATAAAATATTGCTATTCAATTATGTCAGCGTTAAGGGTAAGTTGTATTTACTTACCCCATAGATGACTGTTTGGTGAAGCAAAAGCTGCAAAACAAAGAAGCTCACTTATAATTTCCAAAATCCATACCTCGGTGAAGTGAGATTGAACTGGGACCAGCAATTCAGATATACATACATTCACTTATCACTGTATTTCTTTTCCTCAAGAAGAAAAAAAAAAAAAACACAGTTGTTTAGGGTAGCTAGCTACCCTAATGTATATATATATAGCTTAGTGGCTTACTAATGTATGTATATATATATATATGAAAAATTTTGTTCCAAATAATGGACCCAATGCTTAATTACCCCGAAATGTTGAAGTTAATTCGTACACAAGTAATTATATATTGTGCAAAAAGATAACTTTAAATAATTTACTTTGAATATTACGGAATCTAGTATTGAATCACCAAATTATATTAAAATTTTAAGCTGACACCACCAGCATGTAAGTAAACAAGAGAAATTAAACTTAAAAGCAAACAGATTCTACGTTCTCTTTTCTAAAGATAGATAGATATAGATAGACACAAGAGAGAGAATAATCTTGTAGGTTTCCTGGTGCAGGATTGCTCTAGGGTTTGGATTTCTTTTGATTTTCGTCTAATTTCTAGATGACACTTAAAATGTACACTTGTTCAATTACATGTTGCATTAACTTATTTTAAAATAACTCTACATTAAAAGAAAATTTGGAGTATCACTGACACTAAATTTGCTGATCTCAAAGTGGGAGATACGTGCTGAGCAGCTAGTTTCTTTTACTCAACCTATTCAAATATACTTTCTGAATAAACATAAGAACAAATCTCATTGAATTCTGATATTGTTAAGTTCAATCACTAACTAAGACATACTAAAAGACTAATAACTACTTTTTTTCCCAACAAAAAGAATTTCTTCTTTCAACAAAAAAATGACTGATTATTATTAGTTTAATCTTAAATTTATAACTTAGTTAAAAATTAATTTTGAATATTAGGCTGATCTGAAAATTGTGATTCTTGAACTAGTAAAGTATTTTCTCAATTTTTTTTACAGTGGTTTATCTTATAGTAGTTTAGAAATTAAAATTTTAAATAAACTGAATTTATAAATTGATTTATATCTCAATCCAAAATTCTAAAATCAAAATTATAAAACTGAAATTCCTTGGGATTCTCCTATCCGAAGAAAAAGCATTAACAATCTTCTTGTCACGTGTTTGGAGAGCAGACTGATTTGACTTGTAGAAACTCTTGATTTTGTATTCAAGGCATCAATAAGCTATTCATCCAAAAAAAGTCAGTAATATTTTCAGAGTCTTTAATTTTTATATAACAAACAGCACCATATTCCCTATCAGAATTTTCCAGTCTGAAGCAAATTGTAATTTGGTGTTCAAATTTTAAGAATTAACAAGAAATAGGTTATTTTTGCATAATTTATAGTAAACGTAAAAATATCAGTCTTCAAAAGCACAAGTTAATACTGAATAGACAAATTACCCGAAGAGTTAA